TTACCTTCAAAACCCAGAACCTTCGAAAAGAAGGGTTGTGCTGAATAACCAGGTTCTTGAGGTAGAAACGCGGTTTGCGAATATGGGAGGTCTTTGAGGCTTGATTGCATGGGGCTTGATAGGGGCTTGATTGAGGATGTTAAACTGAGCCCGGCACTCACGACCGCAAAGTTGGCCATTGTCATTTTGCACGCCCTCTCTGGCGAGATCGTGTCCGAGTGCGCTGGGCACCCAGCTGGACTGCCCGCACAAACATACATCATCTGAATTCTGAATTCTGAAAATGCTCATGATCTAATGCGTTTGTGTGGCGATGCTGATGAGGATGCTCATGATCTAATGTGTTTGTGGGGCAGGGCGCAAGTAGCCGTATTCTACGTACTTGGCGTAAGCAGCTTGCATGCATCTTTGAAGCGTGCGCCGCATTGTCAATCTAGGGCTTACCCGTCGACTCACCCGTGATGGACGCCCCACAAAATCCTCCTCAACCTGGCAGGACCAGGTAAGAGGTGAGAGGACCCAAGTGGCCCCCGCTCTTACCTGGTCTGCCATGTGGAAGAAGATATGGTGAATACGATGTAGATTCGGCATCAGCGAAAAAAGCGGTCGAGATACCTCAAACGAATCATGAGCCAGTTCGCCAAACAACTCGAGGAACCGGAAACCATGCAAGTATATTTCTCGAGCTTTGGGTCGAAAGACCCACAAGCCCTCCTTGTAGAGCTTCGTGAGACATAAGTGAATCTCCAGGGCTGCCTCAAGAGCTTTTTCCAACAATGGGTCAGTTCCGACGGCATCCATATTGTTCTGACAATGATGTATGAAAAACCTCATCAAGCACAGTGTCGTGTGACCCTTGCTCCAACCACCAGTAGGAAATGTTGTAGCATACGGCCAGTTCAGGGTGTCTCGATTCAACTTGCGGATATGCGGATGAAGATGTGCGTTCTTGCAAAACTCAAAGAACGCGTCCTGCATGGCTTGGAAACTCGCCACCACGGAATTCGCCGGAAACAAGTGTAGGAGCAAAACTAAACATGATGATACGAAGATTTTCCCGATTCCAAGATGCCACCCATGGAACAAGTCAGGGGCAGCAAACGAAGAAGGTTTGGCCGGGTCGTGGGGCAGCTGCATCAGAACAGGCTCTTCATCATAGGCAGGCACGGTGTCCACGGTTGAACGCCATCGTGGTTCGGCAGACTTAAAATCCTCGAACGGGTATCCAGCAACATCTGCAAGACAATGGTGACAGATTCCTTTCAGAGCCTGTCTTGACGAAGATGCCTTTGCAGAGTTACTGAAACTTCTCTGGTAATTGAACATCTTTTGCTGCTGGGGCCAGTCGCCGATTACGTACAGTATGCAAACATAATAAACCTGGTTGTCGGGGCCCAAGATCCCTTCTTCGAAAAGGTGGTTCCCATCACGTGAGATCTCCGCAAGCACAGTTTGAAAGTTTCCATCACGCCGGTCATCATACATGAACCTGGGGAGGACTGCGAGCAGGTACCGTGAGGCCCATGTATGTACTTGCATATTCAGCTCCTGGCGGTCCGGATGGGCTGCTTCATCAGACTCTACACGTGAGCCGAAGCCCATGATCGAGTGCAGCGCCAAAACCATCAGCTGGGTCTTCTTTAGAGACCTGCCTTCGTCTCCATGTAATATCATTGCACAGGTACGTTGAAGGGCAGCTTTGCCTCGCGCAAAAACCGGATGCCCCCCACAGACTATTCTAAATCTCTCCCAGAACACACCCCACTTTCTGCAGCAAGCGCTCATATCCGGGGAGCTCACACCAGAGATAACATGCCAGAGGTTGAATCTGAGCAGGAAACGAAACCAAGAGGAAATACTGAAGAAAGGGATTCGCTCCCCTTCGGCTGCTGCAATGTGTGACATCTCCACAGGTAGCGTGACACCACATGCGCTCGCAACACGGTGCATATCCCTCTCCGCGTGGCTTTCTGAGATTGCTGCCACACGGCCTATGGAGCTGTGTGCTGCAGCCGGAACCTCTTCTACCACGGCCTTGGCCGCCCGGACTGCAGAGCTGCATGCGGCCTCGGCGATGCTCATGATGTGGCTTGCTTCGCTTCTGTATGCTCGTGATGCTGCACAATTTCGCAACAACGCACAATCACACAGTTGCATGAAGATGGCGTGATTTTTTCCCTCAGCAGCTAGAGTTCGATGCGCTTTAGCCTAACTCCGCTTGCCCCTTGCATTGCTAGGCCTCTCCTTGAAGGAACGGTAAACCAAGTAAACCATATGCAGCGGCACCGAGGCCATGGTATCCATCTTCACGTTGTCACCGCCGGCTTTGACATTCTGGCATCCAGGAGTGCCTGAGAAGGGGACGTTGCATGAAGGGTGTTGGTTCATCAAGGGTGTTGGGTTTGCGGAATGGTAGCCTAAATTAGCTGAGCTGCTTTTGAAGTAGGATATCAGGGCAGCTTCCATCATGGCTGCAGAATGCGGTTCTGTGGAAATGCACAACACCAGCATAGCTTGGAACTTGTAGGCCATGTCATGTTTGTAGCCGTACAAATCGTTGTCCCATCTCCAAGAAGGGTTGTGGGTATACCCCAATTTAAAAGACATAGGAGCCTTCATTTCCAGAGTGGAATTCACCACATTGATTGCATGATTCAGCGCCGAACCTGCTGTTCCGGTTTTAGAAGGCAATCTCCAAAAGATGGCTGTATGGTTGTCGACGGACCTTGGCACCTCACAGGCTGCCTCATCCAAGTTCATGCTTGACACATGCTGTTGCCACGCAGGAGAATCCATCCAGCGCTTCTTCGATATTGACCAAGGCGCGATATCATGCGGCACATGTTCAGCAGGAGTCGGAAAAGCTGAAGTCAGCCTTGTTGATGGACATGTCCAAGGGAAGGGTCCTTCGGATTCCTCAAGGTTTCCCAATGGGATTCACACTCATGAAACATGTCTTTCGAAATGATAGAAATGTAATGCATCTGAGAAGCTGAGCGGTGACATGTCAGCAAATCCCAAAGCTCTTCTTCTGGAGATTCTATCATAACCAAAAGCACAACCCCTTCCGAGCATTAAACGCTGCAGTACAGCCATCCCATGCTTTCAGAAAGGGCCAACAAGCTCTTGTCTCAGGCGTTGACGCCTTCTCCAATTTGCTGTGCCCATCGTCGCAAAGCAGGCCCAGCACCTGGCGTTCAAGAAAGAAATCAGGACCCAACATAGAATGTATAGAAGGGCGTGGGAATTTCAATCGCAGAGGAGCTTTCTTTTTGCGCGAGAGTCTACGACGTAATCCTTTCGGCCCTAGATCACGTAGCTACCTCTGTGCGCCTCCCCCAGGATTGCTTTGAGGTTGAAAGCTGGTGTTTCATGACATAGATCATTGCATCCGCACTTTGAAGTGGGTGGTTGCCTAGGGCTAGATCAAATCAAGAACTGCCCCAGATTTCACTTAATGTAACCCCCCGGGCTAGATTCAAAATCTTAAGTAGTGCGCAAGCAAATGATGCAGCATTTCAGGCGAAGCCAAAAAAACCTCACCTCAGCTGGTTTTGCGTTTCTTGTTGGGAGGGTTCACGGCCTTTGCTTTCCCCTTTGGGGCTGCTCGGCGATCACTCTGTCCCGGGGTGCCACCCTTCTGGTAGAACTTCTTCTCAGACCTTAAGTAGCAATGTTTGTCATGAAAGAATGGTTGGGGGATACAGCTAGAGAGAACAAGATCTTAGTTCCGGGACTTCACTTGCATCTCCGCAGCACCCGCTCGGGCTGACCTTAGGTTTTTATAATTCACTTATAGGCAGTGTACAGGAATTCTGGTTTACGAGGTCCAGGCACAAAGGTGGCATGTCTCATCGCAGCTTCCATACCCGCCCACCACCTAGGCTAAATTTACCCCACTTGATGAAAACTCCTAGGAACATGCACAAACAGAGCACGTGGTATCAAGTAATGCGCCTGGCATTGAAGCCATCCTCATCACCCTGACCCTTCGCCAAATGCTCGGCGACCTTCTGATACTCAGCCTCCATATTGGCAAGGTGGGTCCCCAACGTCTTCACAGACCTCAGTAAGGAAAGCACTATAGTACAAACGCTAGGCACAAACAGTTCACGCATGAAGCTTAGCAGCTTCTCAGAATCCTTTGGATAATTGGTCTTGAGATCAATGATCAGGGCCCGGATCTTGTTGCACTTGGCCAAAATGGATTCATTGAACTTGCGCGCTTGGGTCTGCTTCTGACAGGGTAACAAAGCAATCAACTTACAAGTCTAGAGCACCACCACTCAAGCCCTAGACACGCCTCCGTAGCGGAGGCCATCTCATTCACTGGGGCTGAGGTTCCATCTGTCTGCATTCGCGGCTTGGCATCATCCAAGGCGCGGAATGCGATCTCGGGAAGCTCCGGCTTTTGGTCAGCCTGCGTACATGGGATCAGGGAAGCTAGGGAGCGTGGCGGGATTAGTTTTTGCATGTACGATTGTTCCTGAGGCCATGAACCCTGCCTTTTCCCTGCTTTCATTAATCTGCTCCTGCTGCTCAGTAGTCACATCCTCGCCCTTCTCCTTCACACAGACCCAGTATTCATCCACGCCGTCATATTCGTTCTTCCTCTCAAGAAAAACATGTAATAAATGAGAATCCCAACATTTACTCATCCATGCAGGCTTGTCCTCATGTGGCCCGGCTTCTCGGCACAGCGTCGCTTGACACCTTCCACCCGTTTCCTCGGAAAGGTACATAGGGAGGGATACTTCAGGGATTTGGGATCAGATTCTGGGGATTGTAGGAGTACATGAGGTTCGGACTTTGACCAGCGATAGTCTTGCAGCATCTCCTGCTCGCTAAGCCATTCGTACTCACGGGAAACCTTCACCAACTTGGACTTAATCACGCGGCGCGTCACCTCTGCGAAGAAGGTCTCCTGGGGATTATGGTTAGGTAATTTCGTTTCTTGGGATCCCTACTATAGGTTGTAGAACCCATCAATCTATACTACACAAAATAACCCTTGACCCCTTTCTAGAACCCTCTAATACTGACCCTGTACTGAAACTTGAGGATAAGGAGGGTGCTAGGCTAGGGGATATATTCGGGGTCCTTATTGAAGTTCGCGTGGATCAGCATCTCTGCGAGGTCATTCTTGCTTGCAGCACCTTTATCCCACTCTTGCTTTACATTCGAAGGAGCTTCCAGGTCCTTCCTCTTGTTCTTCTTCAGCAGCATCCTGTATATTCTCGCCTTTGCGGCAAGGATCAGAAGCTCCTTAGTTCTCGAACATAACATGATTGTATAAAGGTTTTTGAGGCAGATCAAGATTGACTTGAGCTTTTCAATCAAGGCACGCGTCGGGTCTTGAGGCGCTTGGCCGAGGCTTTGGGGGACTTAGGGGCATCCGGGGGCTCTGGCTTCTCCTCCTCCGCCTGGGACAACACAGCCTTAGCTAGAAGGTTGCTTCAACAGATTATGGCTTCTATAGTGGGTTCTACAGATATTTGCTGGTCAGTAGCAGTCGGCTCCTCATGATTAGTTTCAGCAGGCACAATAGCCGTCGCATTGGCGGCCACCTCCGCCTCCTGAGTCATGAAGAAACCCTGGGGAGCTCCATAATAAGATTTTTGGGGACTGCATGTGAGAACTTGTTGAGGATGCAATAGGAGCTGGCACAGTGTCGCAATCTGAAATATTGCATGTAGACCCAGACTCCTCAGCTACAGCGAACATAATCTCTCAAGTAATTGTACATGTTCATACAGAAGGCAAGAAGCAGTGGATTCATCCAGGATGGCTTGCTTCATTGCCTGATGTAGATGCACAGAAATGGGTCGGGGATGCTACTGGATGATTATAAACTGTGAAGAATGGGTGACCTTTGAAAACGCATGTAGGATCGGCCTGAATCTGTTCCATCAAGCTAGCTTCTTCTGCCTCCAACGCAGAAGTAGCAAGGTCTGCTGCCGCCGGCAGATGCAGCGGATTTGCATCCTGCGCCACCAGGCGCACACCTTCCTCCAGGCTTCCACAGCTCCATGCCCTAGACATCTTTCAGAAACGCCTTCAGACTTCTCTACAAAATGTACAGAAGCTATTGAAGAGTTGAGGAAATGTAATGGCAAGGCGGTTGGTCACAAGTGGAGGCTATATAGTGACTTTAAGCAGAATTGTCAAAGTTGCAAAGCAGCGCCAGCTTTTCATGGATCGGGTGGGCTGCCTTTGGTGGTTGATTGCACAAAGGTTTTCGAGGTAACTTCCCGATAGAAAGGTCTACCGAACCTCGCCAAATTTTCTGAAAAGTCGGACAAGCCTGCATCTTCAGAACCTGCTTTTTAACTACGGGTAAATATGGGTTTCCTACGGGTAAATATGGGTTTCCTACGGGTAAATATGGGTTTCCCAAAAAGCAGGTTCTGGGCCAGAATCCAGGTTTTGACCTATAAATACTTGGTGTTCGAAAACTAAAACTTGGTTTTCGTAGGGTAAAACCTGGTTTTGCAATTATAAAAACCTGGTTTTCGGATCCAGAACCTGCTTTTTAAATCTTAAAAACTATAGAAAATCATCAAGACCCACATAAAACCAAGTTCGGGATTTACTTCGGAATTATAACTGGGTTCTGAGACGTCTGCAATCCTTGGTGAATTAGCATAGGACCCGGCCTTGGCTTTTCAAGCTTGGGCTGGAGGCCTCACTTGCATATACACTCGGAAAGCATCTGGGATCTCAAGCTTCCTGGACCCTCGGAGGTAAGCGTACACTTCAGGCAGGGCCGCAGTTTCAAACAAAGTCTTTACATCACACGTTGTGGGGTGACACAAGTAGCTTGTAAGCAGAGGTGGCACATCTTCGGGCGTGCCGGGGCATCCCATAGACGACTCAATCAGTCTTGGCAAAATCTTTGCCACCGCCATACCAAACTGCATCGGATAAACCCTCAGGTGCTATAGTAGATTTACAGACAGGACAGAAGGCGTAAGGAAGAAACCACGTGTGGCTACTGTAAGGCAGCCCAGTCACTCCGTTTTGCGCAGCTCTGGCGTTCCATGATAACGCCATTTTCCGGATTTATCCTGATATTTCCTGGCCGTTATGATCTTCTCCTTGGCTAACTTTTTCCCATGAACCTGAAGCTTGCCCTTATCCAAGGCTCTGATGGCAGGGCTGTTGGCAATAGCGTATTGCCGTTTAGCTGTCTTTGCGTTGTAATGATACATCCACCAGGATACACGGGAAACCTTAGATATTCAAGACCAGGTTGGGGTTGGGATATTGCTGGTTCAGAAGAGCACACGTAGGAGCTATATTGCATGAAGGGTACAGCACCAATCGAACCACAAACAGAGATCATCTGCGTTGTCACATACGTGAAGGCAGGGTGGAATTCTAGGCAAGAATTTCCCGGCTGCTCCAGCGTCCATGCCCCTCCAAGAGCACACGTGAGAAGCAATAGGAGACACGTCCTGCACAAGTGGTGACCCCTATATAAGCCCCATATAAGTGTATTAAGGCTGCTAGTCCCTTCCACAATTTATTTGTTGGGAAAACTTTTGGAGGAGCAAGAAACTCAGTTCAACTTCTACTCAGAGTGTAGATTGTTGGCATCAAGAGGACTATTTAGAGATTGCATAAGAACGTGCATTGCCTATCACAGCTGGGCATACGCGGTCCTCTCCAGAAGTAAATTTGATAATGTCACGCTTGGCTTTGAAGCGTCTCCAAGACTACTGCAGGCGGACCGCTGGGACGTCCCTCGATTCATAGCC